TTTTTGTAAGTAAATAATTTATTTCCTGTGCGGATGACTGATATGTTTGACATCATTTTTTAATATATCTCATATAGTCACAAATTTTTTAAAGAACTGTCCGAATGAATGTCTTTTTTTACTGGTTCTTGTTGTTTCACGTAATTTTCCACTGAATTCGGTGCCATCAATATTCTTTTTACAGCAAACCAAACGATTGTTACTTAAAAAATTTTTACTTTTTAAATATTCAACGCATTTTATTACATCAATAATTATATTTCTGTATAAATGTCCCATTGTTGAAGTAGAATTCGTTTTAAATCGGTGCTAAATATATATATGTACTCACTTATAGAAAAAAAAAATGGAAAAAATTCACTAACAAACGAAATCATACGAATAAACGCTAAATGGTAACCGAATGTCTAAATTATATTTTAAAAATACAATACAGGCGTAAAATCAGTAGCCTATTGATAGTTACATAGCTGGTATAGAACTGTAGAGAAATATAGGTATCTATTATCATTTATCGGTAATCACACGTTCCGCTTACAACACTTTATTGTAGATAGCCATTTATCGGTAAATCACACACTGGACCGGTCTCAATATATTTAATATAGTACTCAGTAGTCAATACAGTACCTATAATGCTTGAACTGGATAATAAAGGGTGTTTTATAAAGTGCGCAATTTTTGAAATCCGTAGGATTTGTTTGTTTGAAGGTTATCAACCATATTTTAATTATTTTTGTCATCTATTATTACTCCGATTAGAATGTAATTAGTTTTTATTAAACTTAATTGACATGGAGTGATTCAGTAACTATCAGCGTAGGTATATTCATATTGAAAACCCATTACAAAAACGGTGAGTGCTCAGCTATGACTGTTCGTAAACTTCACGCGATTTTTGGACTGCATCAACAATTCTGGGATTAGAACAGAAATTTGAACATACTGGTTTAATTGTAACAAAAAAAAGTCCACGTTCAAAACCGTAGAATTCGTACACAACCAAACATTGCGGCAGTGCAAGAGATGACGGAAGATATAGTGGAAATGGATATATGGTGGATATAATTAAACATTAAATCGAAATATATTTTAAGTATAATAAAACAAAAAGTTTGAATTTGTTAATGATTTTGGCTGATTTTTTTCCATGTTTAAAAATTGCGCACTTTTTGAAACATTCTATATTATTTTATACGACAGATTGCCTAACAGAAAATAGTCCGTAATAATTTTTTGGTAAAGTTTATGCACGGTTATAGATAGCATATTTTAATCTATCCAACGTTGATTGACCGTGGGTTAATGATAGGAGGGGCATCCAATTTGTCGAATCGTCGTCTGGGCGAAATTGTAGTACAAAAAGTACATAACCTACAAATATTATCCGGAATGTTCCGGACGTCTCACGGTTTGCTCTTTCTTCTACTTGATTCACGTTCGTCTTTAAACAGTATTTCGTGTTTCGATTACTTTTTTGTTGTTTTTGCTCTTGTATAGAGTGGCGTGACAAACGAAGACGTCAAAAAACGGGACCATGTCTTTCATACCCGGCTCGTTGGGTTTTGACGAATTCGGTACGCCGTTTATCATCATCAAAGACCAACACAAACAGCGTAGGCTGACTGGCATCGATGCGTTGAAGGTTTGTGGTTCTTTCATATTCTTTTTTACTGCTGAATAAAGTACTAACTTGATAGAGACGATATTGTTTTCATTACTTGATCGCACCGTTGTTCCTAGATTCGGAAAAATTTTGTATTTGTGACCACTGACTAGGTGTGCTCTGACATTCCCCAGGTTTTATGACACACATGGTTATTTATTTCAACTTAAAATGTTATACCAATCCATATAATATATTTATCACCCAAGCCTATAATAACATTAATGTAAAACGTTAATTTTCATCTTGTTTAGTCTCATATTATGGCTGCACGGTCTATCGCTAAGACGTTGTACACATCTTTGGGTCCAAAAGGTTTGGACAAAATGATGGTGTCATCTGATGGTGAAGTGACTGTTACCAACGATGGTGCAACTATTTTGAATATGATGGATGTTGATCATGAGATCGCTAAACTCATGGTGCAGTTGTCTCAATCCCAAGATAATGAAATTGGTGATGGAACTACTGGTGTTGTAGGTATGTAAAGTGTTAATTAATTTCTAATGCAATTCTTGTTTGTATTAAAAGTTTTATTATTCTATTATAGTTATTGCTGGAGCTTTACTTGAACAAGCTGAACATTTGCTTGATCAGGGTATACATCCTATCAGGATTGCTGATGGTTTTGAATTAGCTGCTCAAAGTGCTTGCAAGCATTTAGACTCAATTGCTGATTCATTTCCAGTTGATATTAACAACTTGGAACCCCTTATTAAAACAGCAATGACAACTCTGGGATCCAAAATGTAAGAAATATTTTGTATAAATTATTTAAAATATATTTATTAATATAATTTAAACTAATTACCAATTAAAATGACAGATACAAATATTTTCATGATATTCAGTTTATTAAAATTTGACAATTTTAGCATTTCATTAGTTGATTGATTTTATTACTGAAGATGAAAAAGTTAGGGTTTTGAAAATTGTTTTTAACTATAAAACTATGATTTATTAATATATTAAATTAAATGTTCAATATGTTTTAAAAATCAAACTTGATTAAGTATTAAAGAATTATTATTTGATTAAAATTGAAAAACCAAGTTTTATTTAATATTAATAATAAACATTAAATATAATTTAATTTAATTTACTTATTATATTTTATTTTATTATTTTCAAACAATAAAATAGTTTATTAATATATATTGTTTTTACTACAATTTAATTCTGTAAAAAAAAAATGCAATTAAATATTTTTTCTCTAGGTTTGCTCTTCATTAAAAACTTCAAACTTTTTTTTTAAATTTTTATTTTAATTGAATTTAGATGTTTATACTTAAAAATTAATTTGGTAATTTATCAAAATATTTTATTCTAGTTATTTTTATTCTCCAATTATTGTTAATAATAAGTTTATTTGGCTTAAAGTTTGTTTTTCAATAATATCTATGATGTAAATATAATATTTAAATTCATGCAATTTTAGTGTCAATAAATGTCATCGTCAAATGGCTGAAATAGCTGTGAATGCAGTTATATCTGTAGCAGATTTTGATAAACGTGATGTCAATTTTGAATTGATCAAAGTCCAAGGAAAAGAAGGAGGAAGATTAGAAGACACAATGTTAGTTAAAGGAGTTGTAGTTGATAAAGACTTTTCACATCCTCAAATGCCTAAAGTAAGAGTATATCATACAATGTTTAATTTTTCTCTGAATATATTTTCTTAATTGTTATATTTTACGTATTTTTAGGAACTTAAAAATGTTCATCTTGCCATTCTTACTTGTCCGTTTGAGCCACCTAAGCCCAAGACCAAGCATAAGTTGGATGTCGCTTCAGTTGAAGATTATAGAGCATTAAGGAAATATGAACAAGATACATTCAATGAAATGGTTAAAAAAGTGAAAGATGCTGGTGCTACATTAGCAATTTGTCAATGGGGTTTTGATGATGAAGCAAATCATTTGTTATTAAAACACGAATTACCTGCTGTACGTTGGGTTGGTGGACCTGAGATAGAAGTAAGGAATATTTTTATTTTTTTTACCTAGAAGTTTTTTTTTTGTTATATTTAAGGGTGTCTTTGGCCATTTTTTAAAGTTAGTGAGTTGTTGGAATTGGTGATTGATAACTTACAAGAAGAAAGTGGGTTTTGGTTTAGAGTTTGAAATGAAATTCTTTGTAATGACAGGTTGTTACTTGTTAAGATTAATAGATTGTTATATAGATAATTATTGGTTAGGTACCATGGGGCACGGGGTTCCAGTAATTTTTCTAAGATGTGTGAATTGAAAGGCTTGAATTGATCAAACACAAATTTTGTGTTATAGAATTCTAGAAGTTAATTTATAATTGTTACTACCAGATATAACTGATATAAGAATCAATACTTTAATTTAATATCTTCATTTAATATTATAAAATATATTTTAATATCTAATATTTTTAAATACTAAATATATGATGAAACTTATTACAGTTAATTGCAATTGCTACGGGAGGTAGAATCATTCCTCGTTTTGAAGAAGTTTCTAAAGAAAAGCTAGGTTACGCTGGAAAAGTTAGCGAACTTTCTTTTGGTACTACTAAAGACAAAATGTTGGTGATAGAAGAATGTAAGAACTCGCGTGCTGTCACCATATTTATTCGTGGTGGAAATAAAATGGTTAGTTAATTTTATATATTGCCAATGTGTAATATGAACTTAGAATATTCTGTGTTAATGTAGATCATTGAAGAAGCCAAACGCAGTATTCATGATGCTTTATGCGTTGTTCGAAATTTGGTACAAGATAACCGCATAGTTTATGGTGGTGGTGCTGCTGAAATTTCATGTGCTATCGCTGTTTCTACGGAGGCTGACAAGATTTCATCCATTGAACAATATGCATACCGGGCATTTGCAGATGCTTTAGAAAGTGTTCCATTAGCTTTAGCTGAGAACAGTGGATTGTCACCAATTGATACGTTAACTCAAGTTAGAGCCAGACAAATCAAAGAAAATAATCCAGCTCTTGGTATAGATTGTATGCTTGTTGGAACTAATGGTAAATTTGTTTATTTGATAAATTTATACATTGTTTATAAAATTGTTAATTATTTTTTTAGACATGAAAGAACAAAATGTTATAGAGACTCTTCATAGCAAGAAGCAACAGATTATTTTGGCTGCACAGTTAGTTAAAATGATTTTGAAAATAGATGATGTCAGAGTTCCAGGAGAAAATTTTGATTAGATTTAATATCTTAATAATACTATACTGATGATCAGCGCTTACTTGTTTTCCTAAAATCAATCCTTTTTTTATGTTCAAAATTTACATTAATAATTTTATAAGTTAAGTTATACATTTTTTCTAATAATAAAATACACTACTAATCAATTAAAATTGGATGTATATTTAACTTTAAACTATAATTCTAACATGATTACAATATTTGCCACAAGAACTATTTTTTCATTGAAGCACACAAAACGGTACTTTTCGTTCTTTCATGTCATACTCGTCATTGTTTTCTTTCATGCCATCAGCAGACATGCCTGTGCCCCCCAACACACCGGGGGGGCACACTGTTTGTCATCTCATTGCTAGAGTTGATACCATTGGTGGCCGTACTGGCTTATTGTCCAGTATACGCTCCAATTCGGCCATTACATTTGAATTGAGTTTAGGCAACAGCTATATTAGAAAATAATTAAAATTATTGATGTTTGTGTGTTAAAATAATAAATTACATTTCATTTTTATTTTTATTAATTATTATTATCGCAATAACATTTTGAAATAAATGCATTTTTTAATATAACATATTTTGTAAATCAAATTTATTACCTGTAATCCATGCAAAGCGTGATAAAACTGGTGTGTCGTTGCTGCTCCTAGTAAAAGACACTGAACGCTTTCGTTTTTTAATGTCCACGCTATACACAGTTGAACTAAACTACAGCCAAGACGTTCTGCTATTAATGAAATTGAAAACAATATTTCCTTGGTATTTCTTGTTGTCAATGGTTCATTGTTCTGCAATATTATATTGAACACATTTTAGTAAACATTTATTATACTGTTTGTAGTTCTTTATTATTATTTTATAGCCTATAAGTTAATAAAAAATTAAAATGTTACCTCTTTACTTGGGGGTTTTCGATCATCTTGATTCCAACTAATACTGGAAGCTTTTGTCTGAAACACGAGGCATATACTTTTTACACCTTGAACCTTTTATTTGTGATGAAATTAAAATTATATTTTTGTCTTAACTAACCCTATTGGATGATCGGCTTCTGAGCGAGTCTTTGAAAGAAGGCAATAATCCCATGGCTAATGGTGACCAAGCCATTAAACCTACACCTGGTTATTGAATGCATACAAGATTAAGTTAAATGTATAAATTTACCTTTTAATACATTTACATATAAATATTATTATGGTACTAACCGATTTTATTGTACAATTCAGGCATGTAAATCTCAACTTTTTCCCTGCACAACATATGATATTCAGATTGTTCTAAAATAGGTGTAGAGCAATTCAATTGTCTGCAAGCAGTATACATTTCTGTGACATCGATTGGTGACCATTTAGCTGTGCCCCAATACATTATAAGTCCTTCTGATACGAGAAAATCCATAGCTCTAACTACTTCTGCAATTATATTGAAAAATGGCGATTATTTGTTTAAATGTTAGTGTAATTTTATAATAATTATTATCTATATTTACTAGTTGACTGAAATATTAAATAAACAATATTTATTTACAATATATATAATATATACCATATACAAGTCTAGATGACTTGTTGCAGGACATTTTTTTGTATTTCATACGTTACACATAATTTAGAGTACCGCACCTAACACAATCTATAATCATATTTTTGTTTTGCGTATATATTGAATTCGGGTAAAATACATATATTTACTAATTCCTGTAAACATTTTTATTACTAAGGATTTTAAAATTAATTAACCTACATTCATAAAATCATATCTTATACACAAACATAAAAACTTGAGTTAATATGTTTAAAATTTTGACTCGACCAAAACTGATAAATTGTTTTAAAATAGTGATTGTGTGTACCATGCAGTGGGGTATGTATTAACCATCCAATCCATAAATGGTGGTAGAAAATACGTAAATTGAATTTAGAATTAATTTGATTAGTATAAGGCGTTGTATTATACAGGTATTCTTTCTGAGATAATATTAGTAAGTATAGGTATACGATAATTACGTATACTTATCTACCTATGTAATATAATAGGTTTATTCAGCTGTGATTTGTGAATGTTATAGCGAACTTGTTCCTATTATATTATCTGCATTACAATGCTTTACACGGCCCTTTTAACAATTTTCCTTCTTAATTTTACAGGTTGAAATTTATTTTGACCGTACCTAACTATTAATATTTTTAAATACTGTATTGGCAAATTTCTAAGAAGACGACAATTATGTTTTATTGAGTACAATAATTGTATTGCGTCTTTTTTATGTAAAAAGCTATGACGGGCGCAATCATAATATTACAGTAAACAAACCTTCGAGTGGACACATCGGATCGGCTTTTTGTATCAGAACGATGTCTATGTAGTCGAGTTGAAGTCTAGCGACGGACGATCGAACCGATTCGATAATGTGTTTGCGTGACAACCCTCGTTCTTCGGATCTATTGAATGGAAAAAAAAAATGAAAAACATAAAAACAAAATATTAGTACTGGATTTACGTATAGGTACAGTATACTAGTATAATGGTTAATACCTAAATCGGGCTCTACTTTATGAGATATAATTTCTATAACGCATCAGACGTTGGAGTCACGTTGGATATACGTTATAGTTTTATTACTTATACGTACATTATAATACTCGTACCTATATATTATTATATTATTGTTAGATAGTGTGACGGAGTAAGCGGTAGTTTTGTTAGACATAAATGTAAAAAATAAAATATTTATTTTACTCATTAATCATACCAAGTATGTTATAAACTAATATACCACCCTATTATAATATAATCAATATCTATAGAATATAAATGAAATTGTGAAAATATATATTTTAATTCACAGTACGAGCAATCAAATCATAGACCTATAAACAAAGTTTATAGAGCTATGAATGATGAATGGATTTAGCATTGACCGTGAAAATTTTTTTTGTGGTTACTTATTACTTGCCGTACTTCTTATATGCGTATAATATATTATGTAAGTACATAAATCATAACATAAATTGTATAAATAAAGCTGATTTATCTTATGCAAACGGACGTGATCGTTTAACTTATAGTTTTAAATTATAGGTATGTATTATAATTTTTTTAGGTATTTCGAAAATATTAGGTAGAATTTTATTTTATAATTTTGTAAAAACTAAAATAAAATTTCTTGCCCTTAAAATGTCACCGCTTTAGACCCGTTAGGTTGTGCCTATGTAAGCCTGGCCGCCTTCGCCTAAATACGCTTCCAAATGAATCAATAATAATGTAGGGATGAAGACCATAAAAACAATGTTATCCTATTTTTACTTGATATGTTATTTATTTTATAAAAGTATGGATCTCAACGCGTATTAAGTAGGTATAATTTATAATGCCGTTCGGCTTTCAGGGAAATAAACATGATTTAAAATGAAGACTACACTTTTACAAAAATAACGATTATTACTTTTATTTACACTGTGTAGGAAGGTACTAGCTAATCACAGTGAAGTACCTATACGGCTATACCCTGATGGCAATGTATCATCGTATCGGGTATAAGATGCTAAGTTTATACCTATCATTTGACTATTTACATGGTAATTTTCTATATCCATATTGATATTTTAATCTGTTTATCAAGGACTTCAACCGACTATTATTGATGTTTAATAGTACCTACTATAATTTACGGTAATGGTTTGACGTACTTGTAGTGCCAATGGATTTTGGTGATGACGCTGTACGACACTCGTTTCCAGTTTTTCCTCTTGAGTATGGCACCCAGTTGAGTTTCAGCCTGTTCGCTGCTTTGCGGACCCTCGGTTAGATCGAACAGGTTGATGCCGGCGTTGTATGCGGCCGTCACCACCGCGTCTAGCTGTTCCTCATTGATGGCTGTGTTGTATGTGGTCCACGTGGCCAACCCGATGTTGGATACGCGCAAGCCGCTCTTACCTAAGTTCCGGTATCGGAGCCCGGATGTCAGGCTGGGCGATTGTGCCGCAGACGACACCCGGTCAACCGACTCCTTGACCGCGGTTGCTTGCAGCTTGGCACACAGCTGTTCCGTGGTACTGCCCAGGTCGGCCATGCAGTCTAGGCTGGCTATTGGTGCCTTGCATCTGCCAACAAGAACAAATCGTTCATTAAAACATCACATAGGTAGGCACCCATCCCTATTATATTATGTTATTTAGACATCTATGTATTAATATCTCTGTGACATATCGACACAAGTAAGATTCGGTAATTTATCATAATATTTCTACAGTAGCAAATATTGTAAAACAGGAACTGTAATGAACTTTATTTTTGAATGTCCCTACTCCCTACAATCCTACAATAATAGCTGTATAAAACAACATAATACTCGTGAACGTACACTTTGTCGGGGGGGGGGGGGTCTAAGTAGCAATTACTCTGTAAACGACCGCTATCATTTAGTATATTATCCCATTGTTTTATCTGCTAGGTGTACTTCAATATTTTATACAAATGTATACGGATCGTAGTTTTCATTGTAAATAATGTTAATATTTACTTACTTAAACAGCAATATACCTAGGTGTTTTGAAACTTCTAAAAGAAACGTCTCAAAACTAAATAATAAAGAATTCGCAGTGGTCTAAAATTTACTCAGTAGGATACTTGCATAATGTATGTGTTTGCAGTAGTCAGTAGTAGAATATTAATCTGTATTACAACTGCAATGGTGTAAAATTGCTGGTTTTTTTATAGTACTTGTAATAAGATTAGTGTCAATTCGTTTTGAATTATTAAACTTAATGGAATATAATATCTAATTAAATTGTTAACTGTTTTTTTTTACATCATATAAATTAAACTAAAAAACTAGAACGTAGGTACTAGGTATGCCCTATTATAGTATAAATATATATCTACCCAACCCAACCCATTAATTACAGTATAATTTTTAAATATTAATGTATCACATTTATGACAGTATGACACTACAACAGTAGACATTATAGATACACAAATATTCCAAAATTTAACCGTATTAACAAATAACAATGTTGTTTGATAATTATAGTAATTATACACGAGTATACGATTTGTGGTGAATATTTATAGAAGCATTTTACGCTCGTAAAACTTTAATTCAAAATATGTAATTATTTGTTTAATAATAATTAAGCATATAAGTAGTATTGTAGTAAGTACATTATAAGTAATATGATTAAGTATAAAGTCGCATAGACTATTTTAAGTAACGTTACTTTCAGTGTATAAGAATTTGTTTTTTTAGCAATGTATGTTTTTAACTTAAAAACAGGTAGTATAGCCTAGTCTAATTATTA